TACTTGCCACTTACCCACTAGCACCAGGGTGGTCTCTGAATTCTGCAGAATCTTTTCCAGAATTCCAGGTGGCGGGTACCCTTCTGTGATCCCCTCTCCCTGTTGGAAGGAGGGTGGTGAGGGGAGTCCTCCACCCACTCTGGACCTGAGCGGCAAGAGTATCCTGCTCCCTCCCCTTCCCACTCTCATTTCTTTTTTTTTTTTAATTGAAATATAGTCAATTTACAATTTGTCAGTTTCTGGTACACAGCATAATGTTTCAGTCATACACATATGTACATATATTCCTTTCATACACTTTTTCATTATAGGTTACTACAAGATACTGACTATAGTTCCCTGTGCTGTACAGCAGAAACCTGTTGTTTATCTATTCTATATACAGTAGTTAGTACCCGCAAATCTTATCCTTCCCCACCTTCTTTCTCCCTGGGTAGCCATAAGTTTGTTTTCTATGTCTATGAGTCTGATTCTGTTTTGTAAATAATTTCATTTGTGTCCTTTTCTTTCTTTCTTTCTTCCTTGCTTGCTTGCTTTTTTAGATTGCACATATAAGTGATATCCTATGATATTTTTCTTTCTCTTTCTGGCTTATTTCACTTAGAATGATGATCTCCAGGTCCACCCATATTGCTGCAAATGGCATTATTTTATTCTTTTTTATGGCTCAGTACGCACTGTCATTTCTAACCACGTTCAATTTGAGGGCTTTCCCATTCTCCCCACACGCCCCTGGTACAGCCTCACCTGTTCACAGAAGAGCTGTGCCTCTAGCGAGGGACGTTGTGGGAGCAGAGGCTGCGAAGGGTCTCCAGAGCTAGTCAAGATCGCAGGTTTCACGCCCCCCAGGGCCTCGATGTCTCTGGCGTGGCTGCAGGACACACAGCGGGCATGCGCTGAGCAGGCTGTTGAGGCCGGGCTCTCAGCAAAGTAGACATGGTGGTGGGAGGGATCAAATGGACTTCCCAGTGACCAGACTAGAGAGGCCCAGGGTCAGCCTCCTCTGAAGGATGTGGTGGATGAGAGCAGGTGGACTCAGTCTGGAGTAACTAGTGGAGCCAGGAGGATGGATAAAGAGAAGGGCCTGGAGAGTCTGCCCTCCTGGGGACCAGTGTCCCCCAGATAAGAGCCTGGAGACATGGCCACAGCTCGAGAGGTGTCAGAGGCATGATCCATCATGGGAGAAAAGTGGGCCCCAGGCTGGTGGGGGAGGGGCCATCTGGACACTCAGGGAGAGCTTGGGGCAGGTGAATGGGGAGCTGGGCCCTGTGGGTGTGAAGTCCAGGCCCTGGCAGGCAGGGGCACCTGTGTTTGAGCAGCAAGGTCCGCAGCAGCTTTTCTCGGTCCTGACGACGGATCTGCCCGTCGATGATAAACCTGTCCAGCAGCTGGTTGACCACCCCAGCCAGGGATTTCTCTGGCAGGTCCAGGAGGACAGTACCTGCAAGCAGTGGAAGGTGAGCTGGACGACTGGGCCTGGCCCTCCTCCTCCCCCAACCTCCCCTGAGGGAGATGCACGCAGAGGGGCCCAGTGGGGCTCACTCACCCTTGGCGAAGGCTTTCTGCAGCTCAAAGAGGCTCCAGAAGGTGAGGTAAGACACGTGTGGGTGGCCCCAGGTTCCATCCTTCCCCCGGTTCTCCTCCATCTGCAGCCAGCGTGCTTCCTCCATCCACTGCAGCTCCTGGTTCTTTTCATCCATCACCAGTTCCCGCAGCTCCACATACACCTGCAGCTCCACAGGCCAGAATTAGTCCATCAGGCCCAGGGCAGGGCTGTGGGGAGACTGGGAGCCCACGGCATGGTGGACCCTCAGTAGACTCTGAGAGATGTCTGTCAGAGGCCCAGGGTCCAGGAGCACTTGGGACAGACCCTGAGCTCCGAGGGGACTGTCAGGAGCTGCAGCCTGGGGGTGTGGAGTGAGGTGTGACATGCGGGAGATGCTTGAGGGTCTTGTCAGTATGGTCCCAACCTCTGGCTGTTCCCCAACTTCCTGATCAGGCCCCTCACCACATTTTTAGAAGCGTTTGAAGAAACTCCAGACCAAAAGAGAGGCTAGAGTGGGCACAAAAGGGAAAGGAGAGGCAAGCCTTTGGGGTGACAGGTCAGTCTCTTCCCTCCAAGACTGTTGCCTGGGCTCACATGCCCTTGGTCTGCTTGGGACCAGGGGACCAGTCCCACGGGCCTAGATGAGGGCAGACCCAGTATCTACCCAGCTAGGCAGTCTGGTGCTTAGTGAGGACAGGGGGGGGTCTGTGTGGCCTGGGCCCAGGAGAGCTTGTATTTAATTCTATGCTCCCCAGGGAGCACCTGACAGCCCAGCCAAGGCCAGGGACCTCCAGCAGCCAGTTTCTCTCTGTCCATGGAGCTCCACCATCAGTGGAAGCGGGGTCCAGGGCTCACCCCTCAATGGGAGCTGTCCTCCTCTACCTACTTCCCAGGATGCCCGCTCCTTCTCTGCCTGTTTGAGGGGTCTCTCTGGTCCTGAAGCTGTCGGATCCCTCTGCTTCTCCCTTCCCCTGGTAGAATGCTGGGTCCCAAGGGCAGCACAGGAAAGGGAATCGGGGGAGCCTGGGGTGCTCACCTCATGAGTGTCTCCATTCCTTGTGCTGTGGTAGTCTGTGGATGACCGCCTGGTGGGCAGAGCTGAAAACCCCGAGACTGATTAGTGCTGTACCCAGAAGAT